TGGTTTGGTGGGGGGGGGGGGGGGGGGGGGGAGGACTAAAACTGGACACTGTATTTTAGCTGGAATCTAGTAAGTGTCAGATAAAGGGGAATAATCACCTCCCTTGATCTGCTGGCTTCGCTCCTGTCAGTACAGCTCAGGATGCTGCCAGGACACACTGCTGGCTCTGGGGCCCTTTCAGTGCAGCTGCTCCCTAGCCAGTCAGGCCCCAGCCTGCATCCTGACAAGGGTGAATGACATATACTCCCTGTATACCGCTGCCCAACAGGAGAAGATGAAAAATCAAATATGAAAAAATATTAAAGACTTTGTCTAATGTACTAACAGATCCAATTCTACAGTGATTACATGGAGTTAATAGTTGGTTTAGCACTTTGCTGTTCAGTACCAGTTAGTGCTAAGGGCTCTGCTGTCCAAAAAAAATCCATAGCTAAAAGCAGATCAAAATAACCAGCTTTTGTAAGTGAATGGGCATTCAATAGTGAAACAGTTAGCATGAGAAAGGTGGCTCCTTGTCTTTGTGCACTTAGGGTATTCTGTCATATTCCTTCTGAACAATGGGTATTTATTCCCTGTTCTTTATCCTGTGCTCATCTGTTGCTAGAGATGGTCCCCCTGATGGCTGGCCACCAATTTCTTATTTCACGGGTGTTTTTTCTTCATATCCTCAGATGAAGTTAATGTAATTCTCCAGCAATCTCAACTTCTCTCTTTCTTACACCAAAATTGTTGCCAAAGTAATTGCAAAATCAGGAATTGCTTAAAAAGGTTACTAAGTGACAGACATGGCTTCCATCACATTATTTACAAAGCTGAAGCACTTAAATAATTAAGAACTTTGTGTCATATACTGCATCTGTGATACACTTATACAATACAAAAGAATATATGATTGTATCTTTTTTGTAACCCGTGGCTAGTACTTTTGATTGGATATTTTGATTTTAACATCTAACTTATACTGAAGGGCTTTTAAATGAGAAATACTAAGACTAAATTTTTTCCAAGGAATTTGCGATTGTTATGTCTTGTCAAGAGTTACATACTTGTAAATATAGTTAAACAGAGAGACTGTGTAAATTTTGAACTGTAAAATAGTGGTTTTAAATTATAGTTGTGATTGGTATTTATATATAGTTGTCATGTTCCTTTTTCAATAGAATTGTTTGAAATGTATGTCTGTACATGTACTGGAGAAACTCGTGTTTACTTAGGATCAGAACTGGTATTTTTGTAATGACTTCTTTTAGTCATATATTGGACTGATTCATGCTACACAGAAATATTTTTCTTAAGAGTTTTCTAAAGACGCTGTCAAGCAAATTAGCTGTATTTTGCCTTTAGGAGTATATCTTACTTTGTTAGATAATCTGGTTCATAATATTTGCATACTCTGTATTTGTCTGTAGTGTGTGTTCTTAACAATTTAAAATAAGACAGTTACCAAAACTTCTAACAATGTGACAGGACAAATCAAGCTTCCAAATTGTAAGAAGCGAGTTGTTATTAGCCCCCCAAAAAGTACCTCTGCAACACTGAGCATGCTGCTAGGCAGACTGACTCGTACTAGCTGATGAAGCCACCATCTCGGCATAGGTCTGCCAGAAGAGACGATACCAGGACTCTGTACTCGGCTTCAGGTGGGGTTATACGATCGGTTCACACCCACCCACAGCAATGAGTTAAACTGAAAGGGCATAGTCATGATTGGTTCAAGACAGTTTTGCCGTCGCTCTGAAGGATCATTGCGCCTTCCTCCTTACACAGTCTGTATGCTTTTAGTACCTTGTGGCTGCATAATTAGCACTAACTCTTTCAAACCAAATGAAAAACCCTCTTTTTCAGTTGCATCAGTAAATTAAGCCATATGGTGAATCAGATGAACAGGTGCTAGTTTCAATGCATGGAGAGGACAAGGATATGCAGCTGGCATGGCAAGTCTTTGATGCCAGTGTGGTCTTAATTTAGCTTAAGCAAGTCATTAAACCATGCCCTTATTTGCCTGCCTTTCCCCGAAACAAAGAGTGAGCACTCACCTGGCTCCTTCTGCCAGCAGAAGTGGTGGGAACAGTGACAAGCAGGTGTGTCAGCTGGCTTAGATGTTTGCAAAGAGCGTATCTGTGTATGGGTCTCATACATACTGTAGTCTCAGCAATGAAAGCAAAAACCACAACAAACTGAAGACTATGTAAAAAAGCTAAATGATTCAGAGTCTTTACACAAAAGGGAAGTGACAAGTAGGGGAGCATGAACTGTATACGCCTGAGAGAAAGAGCCTACCTGGACGACATGGGCTGGGAGGAAGACTGCTGTTTGAGCTCCTGAGAAGGTCAAACCTGTGGTCTGTACTGGACACTCAGGGCTTCTGCAAGTTTGTATGTTCAGTCCTGTGAACACACAGACATAAATGCTTGAGTAAAAAATGTGTAGGGATGCTGTGAGATCTTGATGGTGACGCTTTGAGGTTGCTGTATCATTATTAAAAGGCTGTGGAAATTGGGGAGGACCAGAGAAAGGCAAATACTGTACTCCTCTTCAGAAAGGGCAAGAAATCCTGGAAACTGCAGGCTGGTCGGACTCATCTTGGTCCCTGGGAAAACCATGGAGCAATTCTTTCAGCAGGCAGTTGCCTCTGTCACCTCCCAAAATCTGTCCCAACGTCAATGATTCTGCAATTCTATGGAATGTACTTACACAGAGGTTTTCAAAATCTAGTATACAGCACAATGCCCAAGACTGGCTTGCTCAGTCACTCTGCAGGTAAATCACTGTTATTTATACCATGTGAAAAGTGTAAGCTAAAACAATTTTTTTTGTTTAAAAAGTTTGTAGTTCTTCTGTATGCATAGAATCTCTCACACCTCTCCCAAGAGTTGCGTAATCATCATTAGCCTTGTTTTGCACTTGACCTAATCAAGTATTGAGATTTAAAGCTATGTAACAGACACAAAGGTCTAGTGGGAGACTTGAGTACAGAGAACATTATACATAAACCTGCCATGAACTTCCTTGTCTCTAGTAACTGTCTGTTGACTGCTCTAAATCATTATCGGTTCTGTTAATAATCATTGCTTTGTGGTTTTTTGAGTCCATTACAGTCCCTTCCCCTTCTCTGAGAAAACTCTTACCAGGACTGAGAAGTACTTTTTTCATTGGATTGATCCCTTTTAAGCTGTACATGTATCTTTTGGTATCTAAGTGCTTGGTTAGCACAGGAAAGTGATCTGATCAGTACAGCCTTGTCCAAAGCGAAAGTTTCTGCTCACACATGCAGCAGAGTCACAAGATACACACAAAATACTAATGTGCAAAACAAATAAATGGAAAAATTATTCCATATTATTTGGTATAAAACATCACTGGCGCACTGTGTTAAGTTCTTGTCAGCTCTTTAAAACAAAGAGGTTCAGAGGGAAGGAAACTAATAAATAATAGGTCTACAATATGGGAAGATTAAAAAACGCAGGAGTATTTGCATATGTCCTGTCTCAGTTAAGAGGAGATGCAGATTCTAAGGAATGGCACAAAAAGACAAGCAGTGGTCTCATATATCATTTGGGGATAGAGAAGTAAAAGTGCAACAGAAGGACAGAAAATAGAAAATTTATAAAGGGAAATTCTTTGGTTTCATTGCTACTATATATTGAAGCCAAGAGCTTTGAAAGATTCAAAAAGGATTAGAGATTTATACAGAGAATGAGAACATCCACAGTTACTTTAGCTAAAAGCTCCTGGAATATAAGCCATCATGTTCCAGGACATTAGACAACCTATAAAACAAGAGGATTTTAAAAGAAATTTTCCCTATGAGGAGGATATTGTGTTTGTCTGCTCTGAGTTATTTGTCTGCTTCTTCTGGAACATCTAGTGCTGGGAACTCAAACCCTGATACTAAACTCACAGTTCTTATACTGCTGGATTTAGGCAAAAGTACGTAAGCTAAGCATTTCTTCTTCCTGCCCAGATGTAATGTCTGTTCTACCACCTAAAAAAGGACAGGTGACTAGATCTTTGACTTACTTTCTTGAAACCTAGAATAGCTGGCATTTCTTTTATATGTTTTACGTATTCTAAATATATTCCTTTAACTGTCTCTTATTTCCTTAGAAAACAGCATCAGTGCTCTCAGATGATACTACCATATCCTACTGCAGTTGTTAGTGCCCCTGTAGCAGAACTGGCAAGACCATGTCAGTACCTGGGAAAATACACTAGCGAAAACCCACTCGTAGTTTCAGTGACACACCAGGATGATGAACTGGAGTGGCCTAGCTATGGGCTAACATCTTGTTTTGCTGCTAGAGAAGGTGACAAAGGGCTGGACACACAAAAGTGGTAACTTCATAATCTGCCGTAGAAGAATGCATCAGAGCTTATCTGCAGGAACCCAGAGCATCTCAACTGATACAGATATAAACTTTGAGCAGCCAGGTGTGAAAAGGTTTTCCAGTGTATATTATTGTCCTTAAATCATGAACAAAGGACTAGAAAAACGTGATGCCAGAATGTATTACGTATTGAATCAAGTCCTATCTTTTGATTCATGAAAGCTTGCTAGCCAGTGTCTCACTGTTTGCTTTGTTTTATTTAGTTGCAGATCTGGGACACAGCTGGCCAGGAGAGATTCCGAACTATTACACAGAGTTATTACCGCAGCGCCAATGGAGCAATCCTGGCGTATGATATCAGCAAGAGAGGCTCTTTCCTGTCTATTCCTCGCTGGATCGAGGATGTGAGAAAGTATGCCGGTTCCAACATAGTACAATTACTGATTGGTGAGTTAAAAATATTAATACCAAGTGCTACAGGTTACTGTACAATGTAATTAGTTGCAATACATGTTTAAGATGTTAAAAGTTTTATTTTTGGTTGAAGTTAAGATGTATGTAATAGATCCGACTGGAAATTTTACCAATTTTTTTTTTAATTTGAAAGTGTTGATTCATCAAAACAGAAGTATTTTGCTTTTATTTTGCTTTGATTACTTCTGTTAAGAAGTAGTCAGCTTTGTATCCTTTGCATCTCAATGGAGAACTGGGTACCCAGGATTTCCAGGTTCTGAGGCACAGCTGCTGGGGAGCTGTTCTCATGATAAGAACCATAAGGTTTCCAGGGCCCAAAGAATCTCCATCATATCAAGCCGATGTGTTTTGGCCAACTGGAACACCTACATACTTCAGCAGATGGGGGATTTCACAAGGACTTTGGGGGCAATGAGGGTTTGTCAGTCCACTGCTGGAAGCTCTGCTTCCCAGCCCCAGTGGACGCAGCTCTCAAGGCCTGTAGACCTGCTAATACAATGCCAGTACTAGTCTAGATTTCCCAAGGAACCAGCAGACTGCTGTTGTTTTCACAAAATGGTTTTAGTTTCAATTTCTAGCCCATCTTCCTTCTGTCACCACTGTTTAGTTACTGAGACTTTCTCTGTTCTCTGTAGGAGTCGTACAGAAATACAGGTTGGAAGGGGTTTAGGAGATTATCTAGTCCTGCTCAAAGCGAGGTTAGTCAGGGCCTTTTCAGTCAAATTTTGAAAATCTCCAAGAATGGAAATTCTGCAGCTTCTCTGAGCAACCTGAGAACCTCCTGCCAAATACTTGCTCTGACATAAGTAGTCATTATAAATTACTCTGTTGTTTCTTTTTCTTCCAGGAAACAAGTCTGACCTAAGTGACCTTCGAGAGGTTCAGCTGGAAGAAGCTCAGAGTCTGGCTGAACACTATGATAATATCATCTGTGCCATAGAGACCTCTGCGAAAGACTCCAGCAATGTGGAGGAGGCTTTTGTGAAGGTGGCTACAGAGCTCATGATGAGGCATGGAGGCCCTATGTTCAGTGAGAAGAATACTGACAGCATCAAGCTTGACAGCAAAGACGTTGTAGAAGGCTGGGGGTGTGGTTGCTGATATGAGCTAGGTGGTATCTCTAACTTTACTGGAATTTAGATGGTGCTTCACCCTAATGCTGAGTAGCACGGTAGCCATATTCTCCTCCTCCTGTGAAACCAGCAATTTTGTAGAAGTTAGACACAATCCTGTTTGCTTTGGTGTCTTATTTTTAAAAACGGACTCTTGAGAGGTAGTCCTAAAAGTCAAGCCCTCTGAAAAACTTACTCAACATTTGTCCCCACCGTTTTCTTTTCTGTAACCTTCATACAAGTTACAAAAAGTGGAGGAAACAACTTTGAACGGGTGGGGTGGGGAGACAGATGGTTGGGGAAGAGACTGATGCATACCCAAAGTCTGAAGCATTTAGCATGGGACTGTTGCCAAAGGAGGTCATTTTTGGACAGGCAATCTTGACAGTGTCTTTTCAAATCCTCAGCACTCCACCCATGACCAGAAAGTGAGAATGTCTCTGATAAAGGTATTTGACATGTCAGAATACCCAATATTTTGATTACAGGACCAAATAGCAGTCACCTGTCCTAGGGCATAAGGAGTGCTAGTTAGTATTGGAACAGGCCCAGGTGGGGAAGCCTTGTCTCAGGTTTTGTTATAATTTTTTCAAGTTATCATTTTAACAAAAAGCAAAATCAGCCTGAGCAATATGACATGACCTGCTGTCAAGCAGGATTGGACCAGTGTAGTTATTTTAAATACAACCTTGAGGAGAGGGTAGATGCATTTCATTTGTTATTGCTTGAACAGTGATAGCTCCCTTTTCCAAGTGGGAATCATTGAGTTTTTGCTCTCAGGTCTCTTGATTTCATTCCATAACTCAAGACCTGCACCACTGGAAACAGGAACTGGAAAAACTTTGAACTGACTGGTAGCCATGATCTCCTGCCATGTGTGTAATGGTCATATACAGGGTTAATTCTGGTCATACATTTGACATTATGCTACCAGAGTGTTTGTTGCCTAAGTGGATTTGGTTTCTGCTTGGGTTTGTGTTTTGTTTTTTTTTTTTTAAAAACCATCTCCTTAAATAGAATCTGGGCAAGAAGACCTCAGAACAGCTGAAAATGCACACATTGCAACTTCTTCGCTGTAAGAAACCAGCATCCTTTCAAATGATTCCCTCCCAATCTTTGTACCCAACTGCTTCCCTATCACAAGTTACAAATTGCTTTTCATTTCTTGAAAACACTCA